GTTTCTCCCTGTTAAGGTACCAGGCAGAGGATCTGTTTCCTGGCTGGCCTGGGCTGGTGCCAGGGTGGTTTCCCTGTCTCAGACTCACCCACAATTGCCCCTGTTAGTGAGGAGCCCCCGCCCAGCCCATCCAAGGCCAGATGTCCGCAAGGGGAAAAGGTCAACCAGAAGCGAGAAATGACAGTTGTCAAGCTCGAAGGTGCATTTTTCTCAGAAGCTTGCACACCTGCCTACTCCCAATCTAAACTCTGCCACATCTCTTCCAAGGTTAGCAGAATTATAAAAACGTCGATTTGGCCATTATTGACTTTCTGCCGAGATACTAAGAAAGTCTTTTAGCAGCCCCAATAAATTAAATCCGGCCACCACACTCCCAGACGGGCCGGCTCCTGCATCACTGATGGCGAGGACAGGGGGAGGTAGTCCCCCAGCTTCGCTGTAAGTGGTGTGCACTGTGTTCCCCAGCATTAGCAGGTGGAGAGTTTGAAGTGCGGGGAGAGAGCAGAGCTGCCTCTTTTAAAAATGCATAAGCACTTGGTGAGTTTGCAAAGTCATGTTTCACTCAGCTCGGTTTGAATTTTTCATAGGGTAGAAATATTCTGTAGCCTTTCTTCTTTTATTGTTTCTTTATCAGCAAGGACTTCTACAGTTGGGGGTGTGGTGGAGAGGGGCCGAGTCCAGTCATGCGGTTTGCTTGATTGGTTCTCAGTTTTTCCAAGATGTAAAATGTTGAAGATTTGGGTTTTAAGGATGTGGCACAATTGGGTTTCCTGCCCCCCTCCCCATTTAGTCCAAACTACAAATGCCTCTCAGCTCTGGGTTTAAATTCAATTGATGTGTCTTCAAGTAAATTTCTACTTTGGAAGACTCATCCATTTGTGAAATCATGAGCTCTGTACTGCAAAGGAACCTTCCCTCTGAAACTGTCCGCTGGTCTCACAGTGTGCTAGACACTGCCCCTGCTGTGGGTATTCCCACTCCCACACCAAATGCAGACATCGCTAAATGCCCAGTACGCATTTTCCTGACACATGATGCTCCAACCACACCTAAGAGTTGGTTATGGAAACACAACAATCATCTCTGACAAACTCCTGATTTGTTTGGCTTATGGTAGAACAGATAGGTATGAATGAATGGGATGCTTACTGGGTACCACAAACCAGGAAACACCTTTGCATTAACTGTCTCATTTAGTATTCCTAAAACTCCTATGGGGAAGCTACTACCTATCTTATTTTTCAGATGTGGAAACTGAGGCACAGAGTGGTAAAGTGATTTACCCAAGCTGACACATTGTGAGTCCTAACTCTGGAGCTTGAAGTCTGCCCTGGTGTGTTATCCACTCGATGCAGTTCAGCATATGTGTTTGGCTCATTCATTCATTCATTCATTCATGCATGTATCAGACAGTCAGCAAACCTCTATTATGTACCAGATACCAAAAGTGATATAATAGCCAACAAATTCAGCAGTAGTTTATTTTAAAATAAGGTTGAGTAATTGGTCCCTTTGATGAGCAACTGATTAATAAACCCCCAACGGCAGTAAATGTTTTGCTTTTTATATATCAATAAATCAGACTTGTTTTGGAATGAAATGGTGTTCTCCCCATTTCTGGCTAATCAACTGTATCCTATTTTCTCCTCAAGTGGAGAGAGTTATTATAGTCAGTATTGAAACCTCAACAAACTGGGAGCCAAAGTCCGTTGCAATTTCCACCCTTTCCCCGACAGGTGTGCACCTGTCGGTGGGACTGTCGGGGCAAAAGCTCCCAGCCCCCGCCTGTGTGTCACTTCTGTGCTCTGGTCACACACCTCTGTGGGAAAGGTGGTGGTCAGACAGGCAGTGCTTCCAGAACAGAAGGGAGTGGTTAGCTTCTCGCTTTGCGTGTTTCCAGATTTCACTCTGACTCGTCACACAGCACCTCCAGCGGGACTGTATTAATCCCCATCCTCTGCCTGGACTTCAACATAATATATAGACTTCAGGAGCCATCTTATGAATTATCTTGCCAAAGTGGTAAAACATTCAAATGTTCTCATAAAATATTGAAGCATGTGGTAATATAACAGGCTTCACTAAAATTAAGTTGTTCAATTTCCCTTTAATCGTGAGAGCGCCTAGAAGAAGTGGAAAGTGATACTTGCTTGTGTCTGGAAGCTGGAGGAATCCAGCTGGCATTTAAACCCAGGGTCATCTCAGCAGCCGAGGGAGGGAGCAGCTGCACCTGAGCCAGGTCCTCGGCTTGGACGCACCCTGGAGGCTTGCGTGCAGTCTTCCACGCGAACACCCGGGGCTCCCTCCCACGATAGTGTTTGTGTTGTCAGGTGGCTTTTAGCAAAGCTCCTGGTCTCCCTCCAGAGTCCACAGCTGGAATGATGGCACCACGAGGAAGGTATCTCTTGGGCCGAAAAACCCAGGGGTTGCATTGCTATTGGTTCAGCAGTTTAATGTCTACTTAGTTTTGTCTTCTTGTAAGCATGCATGTCACAGCATATATTTCTTCTCCTCCCTACTGGCTTGCCTCTCTTTCTTTGTTTTTTACAGTTAAGTTCAGTTTCTGAACTTTTCTCAAAAAGGATCAAATGAGAGCAACCCTGGATCAATGTGATTACTTTTTCTTGTCCCAAATGCTTAAAGCCATTTCTCCATTGAGTAATAGTATGGGGATGGCCTGGTTTGGAGAGGCAGAGACAGAGTCTCCTGAAGGAGAAAAATGACCTCCTCAGCAACTGGGTTACTCTGGCAACCCAGGTGATTCAGTTGGTTTGAGTGCTGTCCTGCACATCAAAAGGTCATGGGTTCGATTCCTGGTCAGGGCACATGCCAAGGTTGTGGGTTTGATCTCCAGTTGGGATGTGTACAAAAGGCAACTGAGCAATGTTTCTCACACCTCTCTTTCTCTCTCTCTCTCTCTCTCTCTCTCTCTCTCTCTCTCTCTCTCTCTCTCTCTCTCTCTCTTTCTCTCTCTCTCTCTCTCTCTCTCACTTTCTCTCTCTCTGCACCCCCTCTCTGTAAAACCAATAAAAAATATCCTTGAGTGAAGATTAAAAAAAAAATCAGGGCTGGCAGACAGCAGCCATTTTCCAGCATGTTACTCTTGTCACCAGCTGGTGCCAGTGCAATAGTCTCTGTTGCATAGACATTTATTTGTAATAGCCCAGGATAACTAGGACATTAGTGCCGTGGTGATTCCTTTTGCCTAATTGGATTGTCGCATTTCATTTAATGGGTATATAATACCATGATTACCACATTTTAAAAAGTGTTTTGAAAAAGAGAGTTCACATTAGAGATACTCTTAGAGTTGTGATTTATGGGCACTTTTGTGTTTTACTCCCTCTGGAAAACTGTATCAAGATACGTTGCTATAAATAGTTAAATCATTTAGTTATGTAGAAGACAGGCATTGTACCAGAAGACAGGGCATAACTTTCCTTATAGTTTCCATTCTAGGTTTCCTCTGCTTTGGCCATATTTGAAAATGGCAGTGAAGTGGAATCTTATTATAAAGTAACCCATTATTTATGAGAATAAGATATAGTGCACATTAAAATTGGGTCTCCTGTAAAACATAAAGATACTACATTATCCTTGTCCCCAATATTACCATCGTAAAAGGCCTTTGTTTCTCTTTATTTTTATGGCATAAGTGCAGTGAGCTATATGATGTACCCAGTGCCTAATGTATGATTAGCGGATAGTTTCAGGTGCATGACTCCAAGAAGACTGTGGCTGTTCAGAATGCATGGCTGGGAGTGGTGACTGACATATTTAGGAAATTGCTTTGCACCATAATCGTAGATTTTCTAGTTCAGGGAGCCACGAACTGTGTATTGGAAAAAACGACTGCCTCCAAATCATGGAATTCAGTGCTGGAGTCAAAACTTGGGGGAATAGGGAGACAAGATCTCACACTGGCTTAAATGAAAAGTCCAGGTAGGACCAGCTTCAGGTATGGCTAGCTCCAGGCATTCAAAAGTCATGTGGATAGTCTTTTATTGAATTTCTACAGTGTTCCTTGGGGTTAGAACAATGAACTGTATGCCCACCTCATAGAGCTCATGATGTAGGAGCTGAGATGCAGAAGGTAAAAAAGAATTCTAAAGAATGTGATATGTGTAATAATAGAGACACTTACAAAATAAAAACCATAATTCAGAGGAGAAAATGGCAAATATTTATCAGGAGATGTAAACAAGAACTTCATTTAAAGTTAAACGTTGAATATTGTTTTGAAGGAGAAGCAGGAATTTTGTAGATAGACAAATTGATGAGAAATGGTTAATTGCCTCAGATATGGCATTTGGGAGATCTGTATTTGAGTCCCAGCTCTGGGGGGTCTTAGTTTCCTTGTGTGGAGCTACTGAGTTCATAGCATTGTCATGAGGGCCTGATGAGTGGCGGGTGCACAGAGCTTACACGGGGCCTGGCCCAGCGTGAGTCCTCCCTGCCTGTCAGCTGTCACTCCGCTTGTGTAGACTGCCCTGTTGGACCTGACTACTGACACATAGAACTTGGAATTAGGGGTTGGCATCAGCCACAGTAAAGCCAGCTGGCATTTATTGAGTGCTTACTGTGTACCATATGCTTCATTCAGAGCTTCATTTGACTTATCAAATCTTCCCTACAGCCCCAAGTAGTAGGAAAATCATCATCCTCATCTCACAGATTAGGAAACAGAAGCTTTGAGAATTTAAGGGGTCTGCCAGTATAAGCAGGTTAGTGAATGGTGGCTGAGTATCCTCCCTCCCAGGCTATCTTATTCCAGTGCTGTGGGTGTAAGCATTATACTCTATCTCCTCTTACTTAGCACACCATTATTAACCCCCTCCCCACCATGGTCTTGGCTTCTGGGTGCCCCTGCTGACCCCCATTCTGAGTGCCACACCACTTCTTCTAAAGACATGGTTTGGAGTGCTCCAGTGTTTGTGTATGGTCAGGTGCTATGCTGCTACTCTGGGCATTAATCTCTCGGACCCTGTGCTTCCTTGCAGGTGAGCCTTCCAGGTGGTCATCCTCCCATTGTGATTGCTGCTGCAAGAACGGCAAGGGGGACAAAGAAGGGGAGAGTGGCACGTCCTGCAATGACCTCTCCACCTCCAGCTGTGACAGCCAGTCTGAGGCCAGCTCTCCCCAGGAGACGGTCATCTGTGGGCCCGTGACTCGCCAGACCAACATCCAGACTCTGGACCGCCCCATCAAGAAGGGCCCCGTGCAGCTGATCCAACAGTCCGAGTTGCGGCGGAAGAGCGATCTGCTCCGGACTCTGACTTCGGGCTCCAGGGAGTCGAACATGAGCAGCAAAAAAAAAGCTGTCAAGGAGAAGCTCTCAATTGAGGAAGAGCTGGAGAAATGCATCCAGGATTTCCTCAAGATCAAAATTCCAGACCGGTTCCCCGAGAGAAAACATCCTTGGCAATCTGAACTGTTAAGGAAGTACCATCTATAGGGCAGGGCTTGGGGGGTGGGAGGATATATAAACCGTGTAAGCATTTGGGAAGTCAACGTCCTAAAGGAAATTCACATTTGCAAAGAAAAACAACAACTGACAATACACATTTGTTAGAACACAATGCCCACTGATATACTACTGCCTATTTACCTGATTCACCTTAACACGTAACTTCACAGGGTAGATTTCTTTCCAGACGTGAAAGTGTAAGAAAACCTTTTTTGGCTCGTTTATTTGTTTGTTTGTTTGTTAACTTGGTCCCATGTGCTGAGTACCTTACACGTAATGAGAACCAGCTCCAGGAGAGTAGCTGAGGGTTCTTGGGAGTCATTTATCCCAGACTGGCTTTTCTCTCATCTCCTACCTCCCTCCCTTGAATGGGAGCGTGGTAGAAAGATATCTGGCCTAATGGCATATGTTGGATTGTTTTCATTTTCCTTTTCCATTTCTTAATGGGGAGGGGGGATGGCAGATTTGTATGGCTTCTCAGTCCAATCTATGACGTGACAGTTTCTGTGGACTCTGTATGCCTGAGGGTTTGCGCAACGCAAGTATAAAGAAGTATGTAAACGCACACACAGCGCACAGGAGCCCAGGGCCCAGACGGCTGACAGGGTGCCCTGCTCCCAGCAGGCACTGTCTCGGAGCCCCGCACCCAGAGGAGCCTCTGCTCTTTCCTTAAAACCCTTCTGGGAAGATTTCCCAGCCTCTCTTGGCAACACTTTCTAGCATCAAATAACCCTCATCCTCCAGAAATCGTTTTATTTCAAAATTAACACCCTCAGGCCCCATTTTACTAAGTTGCTCTTTCTCTGCAATCAGAGAGAGTGAGAAGAGGTAGTCAAACACTTTTTGTATTAAACAAACATTCCTATCCACAAAACCCCCTACTCAATGGCCTTCCTTACCCGGTGTAGTTCCCGCTGTGGCCTTCCCACACAGTCCACATTAAATTCTCTGCACTCCCATGTAACTGTGGAAACAAGAACACCACACAGTTCACACTTGAATCAGGGTCCAGCCTTTTGCTTCTTTAAGAGGGAATTGTATTCTTCACGCCTCCGAATGATCACTCGTAAGTTTGCACAACTGCAGTATGACATTGCTGCTTTCCTGTAGACAGCTGTGTTTGCGCTGGGATTCTGGGACTTGGCTGTGTCCATACGAGGACTGGCTGTCATGTCTAAACATGCTCTCGTGTCTAAACAACCCAACCAGATATCTGGAGCTCCAAAACTGAGGTTTTGACTTTCTAAATTATCTTTTGTGATTGCATCCTTGACCTTTATAGACACAGCCAAAAATAAACTGTTAATAGCCATCCAGCCATGTGACTCTGAGTCTATTAATGCACCAATAGCTTTTCCATGGACTTGTGGTAAATGAAGATTAAGAGACCAGGTTTTATTTTTAGCATTCCTCATGCATTTCAGTGGGAACTGAAAAATAATTGGTCAACATTATTTTTGTGCCAAGTACTCCTAATATTTTAAATGGTGTGTTTGTATGTCTGTGTATGTATCACAGGTAATAAAGGCAACTGGATGATGTCTGTAGGGGGGAAATAATGACCAATTGCTTCCTTTGGAAATCTTTTATTGATGCCTTTTTATTATGTAAGAGTCTTGATTCCTATTATGAGTGCCCATTAGCACAGGCCTCTCTTTCTGAATTTTTGTAATTCTTGCCTTTACACCTGTGCAACAGACTCAGCCAGTGTTTCCTTGTCATGATGGTTTGAATAGAGTGTAAAGTTTTACTTAAGTGAAAAAGAAGGTGTATTGGAGAGTTGAGTTGTCAAGAGAATAATGATTTATGAGTTTAAGTGGTTTTTCTTTTATGCATTAATATATTAGCAGATATTTGCTCTTAACTGCAACATAGTTTTGCAAAGCTTACCAATATGTCTTCATTGTTTTCAATGCTTCCTAACAACACATCAAAATACCATCCTACTCATAATAAAGGATCCTGCAAAGAATCAAAGAACTTAGTAGGTCAAGAAAAAGTTGAATTTGATGAAAATACCCTCAAATTTACTTTGGTCAAATGACTCTTGTGACCCTCCTAGAAGTGCTGTCAGAGTTGGGCTTACCCAAATGACCAAGGTCCCAGCCTCCTCCAATTTCAGACCCGACTTGAATGGCATGGAGATGAAGATACCCTTGTAGGAAGTGGAGAACTAATGTGACAGGAGTCGGCCCACTGCTTTGACTACATACTTTAAATAGGAAATCAAATGCATCAAAGAAATTGTCATGGCGTTTTTTCTGTCCCTTGACCTGTCATGACTGTTTTCTGCATAGGCACTCTGTACCCTCAGTGAACCCAACTAGGGCAGAAAAGCTGTTTAAAACAAAACATCATCATCCGGCTCTGTCACTCACCCCACGTAGACCAAACACCTAAGACCACAGGATGCTCATTTGCTTGGCTGCTGCTGTAGAGATGGACGTAGGTCTGGTCAGGAGGAAAACTCTGAGGAGACACCGAGTAAGCGGCCACCTTCAGACCGAGTTTGAGTGGAATTGTTAAGAAGTGATGTGTATGTAGCCTGCGATGTGGAAAATGAGTTCTGAGCAAGGGAGTTATGGATTAAATTCTCTAGCGGTAGTCACTGGTAGTCACTGTGATTCAGGCCTGTTTCCCTGAACTTAAAATTCTTTTGAGAACTTTTAGCTCAATTCTGGACAGAACAGTATCGGTGGCTCCCTTCTTGAATACTGGTTATGACAAGGGCCGTAAGTTGCTGATATGAAGAAATGAATAGCATCCAGTAGGTCGAGTAAATGAGGAGTCACTCGTGCAGAGACCCAGCCTGGGTTGCCTCCTAGGAAACCCTGCTGTCTAAAATAAGGTGAACTTGAGGAGGTTGTCCCCTACATGTGTGTGGTTCTCCTGAAGGCAGACACATATATGTATAAAGTCCTCCTAAGCCCCATCAAGAAGGGAGTGACCTGTGTTCATCAGAAAAAGGGGAAGACAGGAGAGCAAACCGTGAGATCCTGTGGTAGTGTGTGCTCTCCCTCCCCCTCCCCCGCTAGGAAAAAACTGCACTGATATGTGGGCATAAAACGGCAAAGTGACATGGCTTCCAAAGTGCACAGTGATGTTATCCTTTGTAATTGTAGGCACCATTATCTTGCTGGAAGTGCATGCGTGGCAAATTAAAATAAAAGGGGAACGATGCACAAACCCTAAGTGTTCCCCTCACTCTTTCTTCCTCCCTAGCTATGTTTACCCCGAACCAGTTCATTTGGGGGGTGCATATTTATTAAAGGGGAGTCAACATGGGGTTTTCACTTTTCAGTTGGCCTTGTTTGGTTCTGAGGCACCTTCCCCCGTAGGCACAGATGTGTGTCGTTCATTCCGGGTCCTCTGAGTTGCCACTGCTTGAGCTTCTGGAATACTTTTGCTTTTCTGGGTTTTCAATTCCTCTCTGATTATCCTTTGTCTATGCCAAGCAAAACATTCTCCAGTGAGAAAATCAAAGGCATATATGATGTTTTGCAAAATTACTTGATTCCAGCTCCCATGAACGGGAGCCAAACTTTGATTCTCATACATTTTCCTTCACTACAGTTTCCACCTTCCCACTCTGTGGTTTCCACAGTGAATTAACCCAGGGCACTTGAACCCTGGTATTTCTGCTGTGCCCTGGAAGATGTCAAGCTGTGGAATCTGACTAACCTTGGCCTGCTAGGTGATCTTTACTAGAATTACTGAGACTCTTTGTGAACTCTCAGGTGGAATTCTTTGTCACCTTCGCCTGACATAGCAATTTTCAAAGGAAAAATGAAGACAGTTATTTTTTCCCCCCAGTGACACTCTGGAAGATAAATGTGGTTTTTTTCCCCCAATTTACATGCTGAGTTACAGGTGCAGCATGGACCATTTCTCTCTCTAATGTCTTGATATTGGTGGTATCTTGCAATCTCAATGGCCCACTGTTTCAATTCTTTTTTTATTTTCTTCTATGTTGTCAAAATACTGCACTAGAGGAAGAATCAGAATGAGCATCCTGTGTTCCAAATTAACATCAAGTTAGGTGTCGTTTGTGTAGGATGACACAGTGATTAATGTCTGCAGAGAAGTTAGACCGGATGAAACCTGCTGGAATGAGTCTGATTTATATTGCTTTCATCATTCTGGTTCTCGATGAAGTGGTTATTACTCTCCACCTCTACTGAAAGAATAGAGTCTTAAACTTTAATAATCACAGTGTCTCAATGTGACCACAGAAAGTATTTGTCTTAAACGTCTGTTTTTGTCACTTTGCTATATACATCAGCATGGAGGTTCTTTCTTCAGTGACCTCCATCGCAAACTGTTTGGCAGTGTTTTTCAACCCTTGGTGTGCCCAAAAGTCACGTGTGGCACTTGTTAAAAATTCCTACATCTAACCCCTGAGAGTCTTCAGAAACATCAAGTAGGGCCAAGGAATCTGCATTTGGGGCTAGTATTCTTAATAATTTGGATGGGGTGGTCTGTGGACCTTACTTCAGGAAACTCTGCTATTTTAGAGACTACACAGGGGTCAGCTTGTCTCTCACTTGCTAGTGGCACTTCCTTTCCACTACAAATACAGCAGAGCGTGCATTGCCTGCTAAGAGAAAAGGCCCAAAGAAGCCCACCCCAGGGCTAGGGCAGAGTGAGTTTCCGAGATCGTTTTGTCCTTCTGTCCGTCATCCATAACCTCTTGTCCATTTTGCATGTGCTTGTACCTTTTGCTTATTTATTTATTTTTACTGAACTAAAAGCCTGTATAAATAGTTCTGCCCCTGGGTAGAGGGGAGCACATCTCTGAGTGAGATGTATCCTAATGATGCCCAACAGGCAATAAAAACAATGAACTCACCCAAGGAGAGAAGGAGAGCTCATCTCCAGGCCCCTAGGCAGTGGGAGTCAGGAGCTGGAGAGTGATCTCTAATTCTACCCTGTGTGAGGACCCGTGAGGTGGGTCCATTATGAACATATGCACGTGTCACTGATAGCACTATACGATGATCAGTGGATTTAGCTGTGTTTCACCGGTAAAATGCTTTGAAGTGCTATGTTTGTCCAATTTGACTCACACAGGACTATGGAGCTCTCAGAGAGTTGAAGACCCTGATCCCCAACATTAACTAAAAACTTCAAGCAAACCCTGGAGGGAGACTAAATATAAAAAGAGAAATAAAGAGTGACTTTAAACTAGTGGTCATATTCCGTGTATGATGGCACGGAGTTCTGTAACTTTCTAGTCTCTCTGACGGGGGGAGATGGCCCTACCCTGACTGTTTGGACAGAAGCCTTTTGGAGGGCTTCAGTGGTCTGGCTCATTCTGCCCCCATAACAATAACTGGGGAGGCACCACTTTCCCTCACCCTGTAAGAAATAGAGAACGAATGGCTTACATTCACGTTTGTCGAGATTGTCAATGAATATTTAGGTACCGCTACTGCCCAAGGAAGGTGGACAATGGTTAATGAAACCAATGAGCTTGAGCCACTAGTTCAGATTACTTGGCCACGATTTCTAAAACTGTGGGGTTTGATTCTGCTTGCCTTCCCTGTTCTACTTCCCAAGGGGGATCCCTTTACTGCCCCAGCTTTATAACCTTTTAAAAACATGTTCCTCTTGTTTGTGAACAAATTATGTTGTTTATTGGCTAAAGAATTTTTGGTTCCTTAACTGTCCTTCTTGATTGACTTTGCAAAGGCGAAGGGAAATGTGCCCTGGCCCAGCAACTATCAAGGGGTTGGTTTGGGGACAGGGGCGGTGATTGTCCTGCTATTCAGCACCTCGGGCCAACTGGAGGATTTAGTAAGTCTCCTTTCTCCTGCAGCCTCTTCCGTCTTGTCAGTTTATTCTTGGCATTGACCTTTAAGGTAATTCGCCTGCATTTGGACAATAAAAACCAACATTACTCCCGACTGTCTCCCTGCGAGTGTGGACTCCATCCATCACATGTGGAAGCAGGGTTGATGCACTAGTAGTGGAGAAGGTTTGCTTTGTAATTGCACTCATGGGTGAGCATGTGAGCACATAAGTGTGCATGTACACACACATGCAGTTTTTAGGTTTGTGGTGAGTCAGTCATTGGCTAAGGCCGGTGGAGACAGTCTTGAGTTACAAAGTTTCACAGTTTTTACCTCAGCACAGCAGTAGCTACTGAGGGTGTTGGTCCTTGAGAATGTTGAGTAAAGCTGATCTCCTGATGTGAAATTCAAACAGGTTTCTGGGTAAAAGTCAAACTTATTTTCATTTGTATAGTGAACTAGTGGTGACTTCCTCAAAAAATGAAAAGAAAGGAACAAGAAAGAGAAAAGGAATGTTTTGAAAGCTAAAACAAATTGAGGATTCACATGGGGCATCTGTAGTTTCTCTCAGCTGCAGGCAGTGGTCAGTGGTTTGCGGCTGTGTGTGAGAGACTGGAACAATGTCACTGGATGCTGTCTCTGATTCGGTGGGTTATGTGCATTTAAGGTGGTGACTGTCACGGGGGGTTGATTTTGCATCCCACGGGACATTTGGCAATGCCCGGGGACAGTTTTGATTGTTGTGATGTGAGAGGTGTTACAGGCATTGCATGAAAAAAGACCAGGGCTGCTGTTAAACACCCTACGGTGCACAGGGGAGCCCCACAGTGAAGGATTATCCAGCCCCACATGTCAATAGGACTGAGGTTGAGAAACCTGAGTTAAGTAAGGGTTGGCTCAAATTTTTCAAGGCATTCTTACCATGTAGACAAAGGCCTTTGGATCAAGAGATAGGAAGAAATAGAAGAAGAATAATTAATCATTGGTACCACCTTAAAGCTGTCCAGGGTTTACCTGACATTAAATACAACTATCTCTTTGTACAGGTGTAATTTAGAGGGAGATTTAGAGGGAGAAATGCATCCCTTTTTCCCGGGCTGCGGTGGTGATGGGCAGGCCTGTGGTCTAGGTCTCAGTGTTCTGCTTCAGTCTCTTTCTGCTTCTGAAAAATGATAACTCAGTGAAGACAGAAACCTTCTAACAGCTAAATGTGTTTGTTACGAAGCACAACGGGAGCACTCTCAGTTCACCTGACCCTTTCAGAGATGTTTTGAACCTGATTAATGGCAAACAGAAGGTGCTCTCAGAAATGAAACGGATAAAAGGGAGCAACTAGGGTTAGAAGATGCCAGTGATTTCATTGCCTTTGACTGCTCATTGTGGACTTCGTTTAAGCTTAGCCCCTCACTAGCGATAACCCTTTGATCTTGGAAAACATGATCCTCTGACTCACACAGGTGACCCCATGCCCTCGTCTTCAAAGATACAAAAAGTCTAAGCACAGATCCTGGCTACTTAGCCTTATGTCATGTGTATGTACTGACTTTATTAGGACACAAAACATATTTGTGTCTTAAATAATTTGACATTTTTCTTTTAATTTATCATCTCAACCTCCCAGTAATAGAATAAAGGCTGGCACATTCTATCCCCATTGCATACAGGGGAAACTGAGGACCCAGGGAGCTGGTTAGCATAAATTTATTCATCTGTTCATTCATCGATTCAGCAGGTATTTGCTGCATGCATTTGATCCTGCAGGTCACCACGGTGAGATTCTGCTAGAGAATCAAACTTGGGATATAGAACTTGAATTCAGATTGCCTAAATCTAGACTGACATTATTTCCTTATGTAGTTCTGATCAACATTCTAGACTTATAGTTTAAATATGGTTATAAATAATGTATATTAAGGAATTACTATTATGTACTGGAAACTCCACTAAGTGCTTCATATGCCCTAGCACTGTCTGACCCAGTGAAATGGGCCCTGTTCTCATCCCCTTTTGCAGGTGAGGTAAAGGATAGGGAAAGGGGCACATAATTCCACAGTGGCAGGTCCAGTTTATCCTCTGGGTTAAGCCACCCAAAGGCTGATGGCTTAACCACATCGCATCATAACCTTTTCCCGCCGCATTTCTCATTTCCTCTACTCCATGCAAAAGGCAGTGAGGAAGAATCCAGACTGACACCCTCCTGAACATTATTGACTATTTTCAATGGCAAACTCCGATAGCAGGCATCTCCCCAGGAAACAAAGGAAAGGCAGACTTGGAGGGGTACTTTTACCTAGCACAAACTGTACTTTATGGCACAAGGCTGATCGAGGGGCAGCAATATGGTAGACCAGGCAGCTGGTGAGCACTGATACCCTGTGAAACCCAAAGCGGCCAGATAGCTTCCCCCCAGGAGGACTGCACCTGCCACCACTCATGGTGCCATTTCCATGTTACTGGGGCAAATTTCATGAGAAGTGAAGTAGGCAGATGTGCCTCTGTGTGTGTGTGTGTGTGTGTGTGTACAAGAATGTATCTGCCATTGTCATCTTTTGGCTTTTTAAGCAGTCGTGGGCTTTGTTCAAGACAGGTCAGGAATCCAGGTGTGACTGGCTGCTCCCAGCATCTTGTCACCACTGTGCTAAGTTGGGAACATGAGAGACAGCTGCAGAAAAGAGGCGGCACTGAGATATGTGAGTGTGCACGAGAGGCGTGTGTGTGTGTGTGTGTGCATGTGTGTTGCCTATGTGTGTTCATGTAGAAAATTTTGTGTATATGTGTATATATATTTGTACATCCAAATGTATATAGCTATAGCTATACTTATGTATACATACATAAATGAATCTCATAGTTTGTAACTTTGGAATTTTGAGTTTGACAAATGATGATGATTTATATTTGGTTTTCTAGATAGTTTAATATAGTTATATTTTCCAAAATTCTCTTTAACTAGGAGTGTATGAATTTATTTATGGTACAGAAACTATGATTAAAATACTTTGGTTTAACATCTATTGATACAAAACCAAACAAAAGTGCATTTGAGGAAAAGCCAAGCTCGTAAAAACTGGCTTTCTTATTTGAATCATTTGTTGGAATTTCAAACTGTGTTGCAAACATGTTCATTCGAAAGAAGAACCATCCTCACTGAATGAATGTGATGACGTTTAGGGAGAAAATAAAAACACGTCGGTCTGTGACAGCACGACTCCGATGGCCATCGTGCTGATGGCACTTCACCAACACTTCGGTTCCTTCACTTCTCTCCTCACTGGTTTTTACGTCATCATTCATGGGGGTCCCTGTAGCCCTACTCACTTTGTAGTTGGAGCTAATGATCTGTTTAATTATTTTAAACCTGTAGTAAATAATTTATAACATGTACATTGTAAATATATATGAAAGCTCAAGGGCACATTGTAATAATAACCAAACACTTTCTGAACTCCTGCAAATAACCCTTGCAGCCTGTTTCAAACAGATACCATAATAGTTGCTCAAAGAAGGAACAAAATAGTGAAATGAAAGAAAATATTAATGATCTATTTTGGCATCCTGTGGACATAATGACCAAATGACAAAAATTTGGGTACTCTTAAGGAGACAGTAACTTATGTTTTCATTCATAGTGATGTGCTTTGCATATTTTGAAGACTGTGAAAAGTGTTTTTTGGTCAACCTATGCAAACCAGAATGTTGGCACACGAGCCCAGACCGTCAGAGCCTCAGCCCGGCTCTCGGCCCAGGGCTCAGCTGAGAGTCTGAGCGCAGAGGCCCCTCCTCCCGGGGACCTGTCAGGTCGGCTCACACAGTCAGAAGCCTCTGCAATCTAATCCAGCACGATGGTTCATTTTTTTCCTCATAAGCTCCCTGGAGATGTGATCTTAAAAGCGTATGAAAGAAAATTAATTTCTTAGCAATCAAATGTTCTAATTAGGTTTAAGAACACGTGAAGAAGGACTGGCTGTTTTTCTGAAAGTTTTGGAGCACAGAGGAAGGTTTTACATTATCTCTGGCTTCAGGTTCCTCTAACATTTTCTTTCATTTATTTATTTGTAATTCCAAAGGAGAATGTTACATCAGGAGAATTTTCCTTAAAATATTCTGCTTAGTTTGGAAACAGACAGATTCACCTATTTTTGTAACCCGTGGGGGGGGGGGGGGGTGAGAGGGGGCGGTGCCCACCCCTCATTACCCTGTTTCTGATCTAGGGAAATGGGTCCGTGAACGAGCCGCGTGGCCTCGTGCATACAAACGCACACAAACGCCGCGCGGGGAAGCCGCCTGCTGAGCGTCCCGCTGGAGGCTGTTCATAGGATCGGCTATGAGTGAGTCACTACTTAGATTAGTGATGGCACTCAGCTTGTTTCTCTTATGGGCACTTAGTCCATGAAATCAAAACTCTTCGAGTTGCCTGAAGGAATTGGACTAATGATCTTAGTTGAATTCCTGTTCCCCACATCATTCAGAACCAGCTGAGCACAAACCTAACAAACAATAATTGGTCCAAATTAAATCGGCATGTTTAAATATTATCAGCACCATCCTGGACACTCTCAAAGACCTTGTTGCTTAGGTTGCATAGAGATCTCCAATACAATCTGCCAGGGAGTTTCAGACTCTTCCTCCCAAGTCGGTTCCAGATGCTGTGAAGGTGACGTCACCACACAGGGAGGAGCCTGTGTTTTGCTGGGGCCAATACTGAGTGGTGTTCTGTTGGGGCTTTGCTCATGTTCCTTTTCCCTGACCTCATTCAAGTGCTTGATGGCCTGGGTCCGTTAGCTGCACACTGATGTATCCCAAGTGACACCCACTGAATTACCTCTTTTCCTTTACAATGCAGTTCGCTTGTACATAAGTGTAATGTCAACTGTTTACAGGTTCTCTTTGTGTATAATTGTGATAGCAGATTTAGCTCAAACTTTAAAGGAATCTGTTTACCGAATGGTGTTCAAATGAATGTGCTTATTGCAATATAAACATCGTTAATTCTGGACTCACACAAATGCATGTCTACACGTCGCCAACTCCCAGCAGCTCGGTTATCCAGCAGTCTGTGAATAGCAAATATACATAACCTACTGTGACTCTGATAACTCAGTGACTGTTATTACCTTGGTATGTAACACTGTAGATTTTAGCCTGCTGTATTTCTTTCTTACCTATTTGTTTTTGCGAGAGAAACATGGTAAAAGATAGTACTACTAATTGTCCCAATGGAATTGCACACCGTTTTGGTGACCATTGGTCCACCCAAAAGGCAGCTGCCTATTGCTGGGACAATGGCCCTGAGCAACAGATAAATACATACATACATATCTATGTTTGCAACATCTACAATGCTAATTACTACCATCTATTCTCACTGCCAATGGAACAAATTACTATTTTCTCTGGAATCACTGATGGATATAAAAACCTTAATTTGCTATTAACTGCTTTCCTGTTCTGTTCAGTTGTTATAATATGGTAAATGATACAGGTGCAGTATCAGTATTGTAAAACTGTGTGGTAAAAACTACAAAAGTTATTCTGTGGATATATTTTAAGAGGCAGACAAGAAGATATATTTCAGATTTCTTGTGTGAATATAATTACAGACATAGGTAACTATTTTTATGTGTTTCCATAAATGACTCCATTTCATATACATTGTAATTTAGCACTGATCATAATAAATCATTTGGTAACATTTAGTTGTTATATATCTATATCTATTTTCAATATTCATAAGAGACTGATGATTCAACATTATTTCATGCTAGCTCAAGAATTCTAGATGAAAGGTAATTACCATGGCAATTAGTTTACTTCTGGTTTGCCGTGGCAGCTTGCTGGATGGGGGCATAAAAAAGGAGACCTAATAAGCTGGTTATTTAGAACTCAGGAGTGAGGCTGCGAGGAGGTGAGGCTTTGCCTCTGTCTCTTCTCAGTGGGGGGGGCTTTACATTGTCAAGCCTCATTAAACCTCAGTTTCCTCATCTGTAAATAGGGAATAAAAATAATAGATACCTTATAAGGTTCCTGTGAGAATTATAGTAGATAACCCAAGTAGAGCATTTAGTACAGCATCTGTTACATTAAATAAATGTGTGATAGTCCCTATTCATCCTTTTTATTATTACCCAAAATGCACATTTAGAAAAGGAGTTCAGCTTCAACACTCAGAACATCTATCTATTGTCTGTATTTGTATCTCAATCTATTTACATATCTATATATCTACATACTATATATCTATATCTCTCTGTATAATTTTTATCTTTAGCCTTTTAGGGCATTGCCTACAGATCCAAGCATTTAGTATATTTTCTAATCAAAAGGGAAAATTATAAGGAGAAAAAAGAGAATTCTACAGCTTGGAGGAGCTTAAGAAGTAATTTAGCCTTTCACCGCCGTGAGGTGTAAGCGGCAGAACACTTGTTTAAAGTATGCACTGAAAACAGGAAGGGAATCAGATGATGCACGACCTGGGAAATGCAACCCTTTGCACCCTCCCTTTTATAATTTTGAAATGTGCCTTCTAGTTAAAGCTCTGGGAGTTAGGCAGTGAAGGTGATTTCAAACTTTATTTAACCCAGAATCTCCCAGACTTCCCTCACCAGAGAGCCTTCCGGTGTTGAGGTATACACGCTGGGAAATTTAGCCCAGTCTCCTCCTTGTAGGAGCTGGGGCCCAGAGATGGGGAGGGAAGGGTTGCAGGTGTGGAGGTCCTGGGTCCAGAAGCCCCTCTCTCCACTCAGGCTACAGCACTTCCTCCCAAACCTCTCTCATATCAATGACTGACAATGACAATGGCTTTGTTCTAGAAAGCCCTTCTAAATTCACAACATCTGTCCTGCACAGACCCAAGGTGAGAGTCCCACGTGGCACTGAAAGCCAGGCAGGTGTAAGGTGAGGACCCAGCATAAGAAGTCCTTCCTCAGACTCAGTCACCTCTGAGATTGCTCAGGGTCAGGACCTGCTTGGGCTGCCCTAAGCTATTATTAGAGATGGTTGCCATGGTGACACAGATGCTGGACCATGCTGTCCCTCAGCCACCAGAGAAATCTGAGCTTAGATAAACCAAAGTAGGAGAGGGGTTTGGAGGGGAATTTTATTATGAATTCTTCTGTGGGAAGCTGTGGATTTTCCTCCTGAAAACGTAGACAGAAACCCCCCCCCGTGCTGAGAAATTGCTCAAGTAGAGCCAAAACCTCATTAACTGCAAGTCACCGAGAAAGGCTCTGTCCCCACTGTCCCAGAACAATATAAGCCATGAAGGGTACACACCAAGGGCAAGGTTGGCTACAGGCTTACAGGCCACAGCTTTGAAGGGTGAGCAACAGCAAGGAATTGGTTTGTCCCCATTGTTCTGCACTAAGTGCTCCTCAAATCAAAGGTCCCAAGGCCACTCCTGGAACCTCTGCCATGTGGGTAGTGAGGACCAAGGCTGCTCTCTCTACTGACCTGGGATCCTGGATGGAAAGGACGGTGTGTGGGGAGCCCACCCAGGACTATGTGTTGGAGAACCAGGAGGAAGACTCCCCCTCAAGCTCTTTGGATAGACTTGGGTGGTATATGTCTTTATCCATCTCAGCCCTGTAGTTCCAAAGACCTACACACAGCATCATCCAAAAACTCACCTATCTGATGAATTGAGTTGAACAGGACTTGATCAGAAGGATCATAGCTTTTGGAAGGAGGGCAGTGAAACAGGGAAAAATACCACCTTCTCGGATA